AATCTGGTCCTCTATAGATTGAGGTCTTGCGATGAGTATTCGATGCCGATTCGACGGGTAGCATGGCGTGCTTTGCCATAAATCGATTGATCCGCCATTTAAACCTATGGAAAAGGATCGATAATTAGGGTATTTGCGACAAAAACTTATACTCGATTCTTTACCACAGCTGTGAATGGGGAAATATCGATTATCGATCCCTCACGTCTCGCAACTGGATTCGACAACCCAGGCTCAGAACAACCAACTGGTCAAATCGTTGCTCCTCTGGGGTAAGGGCGTAGGACAATTTCCACGTGAGCCCTGTTTTACATATAAATCCACGCTTTCTGGGGCTCATGCGGAAATCGAGATAAGCCTTTACACAAGAGGAGCTACGAAATCGGTTCGGAGGGAGGACAAAAGTTCGAAATACGCACGGTCGATTAACTATGATTTACTTCGGATTCGCGGAAACAAGAACTTCACGAGAGGAGTTCATTAACTTTAGCCTGGGCGGAGCTTTCGAAAGCTAGTTAGTTTTAAACCGGTTGAATTGGCTTCATAGTTCCCTCACTTAACTATTCCCGATCGGACAGTAAAAGTTGGCTCAGCTTGCACCTCTTAGGAGCAGAAGACGATATTAATAGAAGTACCCTTGTAACTTCTGGTAAGAGGGCGCTGAAATTTGTCTGTCGCAATTAGGAGATACGGCCAAAGGAGAAAACAATTTGAACTAAATTTTGCCGTAAGGAACTACTATCCATTTTGCTACAGAGGTGTTGCACAGTATCATGAGAGATTGAAGGCACCCCAACGTATCATGATTGATGGCGTTCTTTGAAAAGCACGAAGTTCCCTCGCAAATTAAATCGGGTAACAATAATGTTTAGCATGATTTTTGAACTTCACTAAAGGTAAAAGTGAATTAATTCAAGCAGAAATATGCTCAAATGTACCACCGACAAGATTTCCTTGCGAATCAATAAAGAAAATGGACGTATTTCTGTCAAACGGAACTAAGCGCCAATTTGAGTTCCTTTCGAGGAATTTAGAATGCCGGATAGCGCGTTCTGTCGAACGGAACTAGGCGCCATGGAAAGGCATTGCTAGTATAGGACGGAATGAGCCCGACGCCCGGTTCCGCCACCAATCCAACCTTCCTCCCCCTATGGCGCTTGGTTCCGTTTGATTGAAATACGTCCAAATAATGCTTCAGTAAAGAACAAAAGATGCCTACGTAAAAAGGAAAGTCACTTACATCAAGCACAAACCCGCTTTCATCCGGAGATTTTATTCTTGATTCAAAAAAAAATCTTCTTGACGGCATATTGAAGAATGTTTCTGCATAAATCAAGTCACTTTTTTCTCTAATGAAATTCAAAAATTATGCTAAACGTTACTGAATACGGATGCTACGACTTGGTGACCTTTTGGACTACCGCTTTCTTTTTGTGCCGTAGTGTCTTGATTTATTTTACAAGGAAAACTCCGTACTCTTAAATGGTGCCTGACATTCTTAATAAGTTGGAGCGCCTTCAACTTCGTGCGATACTGTGCAACACCTCTGTGGCAAAATAGTTGCTTGAAGCGCCGCGGCGGGCGAGGGCGACCAGCGCGACACGCGCACTAGCGCCTGCAAACCTAACAAGGATACTTCACGCATTGCGCAATGCGTGAGGTATCCCTGTTAGGTTTGTAGGCGCCACGGCGCATGATGCGCAGTTGGAATGGCAGCACGCGCGCCGCTCCGCTCTGTGTTTGGCTTTAATATTTAGATCGCGGATTCAACATTTTTGAGTGTAATCTACGAATTAGGTCTACAAAGACCCATAACATGTAACGTTACAGATCTCACGGCATGACTTCAATTTAATATTCCAATTCGGCTGCCTGAGCGAAACGCTCTACCCCCTCATTCTTGTACTAATACGCATACTAATGAGTATTAGTACAAGAGAGTGAGAGTATCAGCACAAGTTCTTCCATATCTCTTGACTATTATTGGACATTTTAGAACTCCTGACCTTGTTTTCCCCGAAATTAGTGTGGACCCAGCAGCATTTTACCACCTTGCGTATGAGTAAATTAGTAAAAAAAGTATTTTAATGTTAAGTAGTTATTTGCATAGTTATGGTCGTACAAATATTTAGTGATATTCGCGTAAAGGAATACTAGACAAGGTACGAATTTCAGCATTCTGATACATGTTTCAGAACCAAAATTTCACGTATAACACGACTTGCACAAAGAAAATCTCTGTAATTAACTGCTAACTAAGATTTTTAATGTTTCTTGACGCGTGAATTCAAACCTCCCTCTCAAGAAAACACAATGGTCTACGTGAGTTAATCGCACACTAATCTTTACCATAAGAATTTCTGCGATATGAAAATCTGGCAACCTCAATCTTGACGCTTTGGCTCAGCTATAGCAAATACTTTACACTTTGACCGTTGAGGGTAGGAGGGAAACAATGCTTGATTGAGGAGCCTACGAAAACTGTTGGGAGGCGCGATTTGACTCATATCACGTAGAAAATTGCATGTTTTGTGACCAGGCAATTCAAATTTCCCGTGACCAATGTAAAATAAAAATGTCGATATCTTAGATAGGAGTTGTTTTCTGTGTTTTTCGATGCAAGAATCGTGTTTTACGTGAAATTCTAATAATGAGACATGCATCAGAATGCTTAAATTCGTACCTTGTCCATTCGGTCCATGGTGATAAAAAAGCATGTATCATAATGCATCGTGTGTTTTGGTCCATTCATGTCACCAAACAAGCTTCACACCTCACGCTTAAGACGTTGGACCGCGTTTAACAGAAAGGAACCAAGCCACGTTAGCTATTGCCAAATTTATCTGGGCAATTTAATAATTTATGAAAGAACGTTTGTGCGGATTCCTTTGAAAATTGTAAGGAATTTGCTTCGCACCATTGAGAAAATTCACAGAAATTTGCGAGAAAATCCACACAACCGTTTCCGTGTAAAAAAATGTAATAGCCCGATCGCATTTGGATATAGATGGTGTGGTTTGGTTCCTTTCTGTTTAACGCAGTTCAATTGACATTTTTTCTGCCATTCGATTTCGTTTAAAAGTGTCATGATACGAAAATGTATCGCTTGATTGTTGCCTCAACCCTGCATTCAGTAGTCTGCCGTGCAACACAAAAACGCCGTAAACGCCATTTTATACATTCTTTGGAAACAATGTATCATGGCAGAAAATCTTGTGTGCCTTAGGAGAATGTTTTTACAGAATTCTTTTGCAAATACTATCAAGAACTTAACCTGAAAATTTGAGGTGCATAGATAAAATAGTTTTTATTTTATAAAGTGTTAAGTTCCGAAAAACGAACGAAAATCTTGATGGATTTACGGCGTTCTTGCTTAACGCGGCTAAAGTGCCGATATGGCGAAGAGGGCAGTAAGTACATTTCTGTATGAGCCATGGTTAGCACGTGCTTTTATGTGTCTCCAGGTTCATCCCAGCATGCACTTACTGCTCTCTTCGCTATCACGGCCGCGTGGCCTCCACGTCATTATTTCGACGAATTGTTGCGCGCCTCTTTTGGCGAAGGGTAAACAAAATACCTCTGCGGCACCGGCCTCTTGATTTAACGGCTACTGCACTTTCCTCAAGTTCATGACTAATGATACGGAGGATTACTACCGAGATAAAATCCATTCATGAACAGGGTGATCCGTACTGGGGAAAAAAACACGTTGCATCTAGAGTCCAGACTCTTGAAAACATTGACAAGAAAAAGTACTCTTGATTCGATCAGATTTTTGCTTAAATCAAAAGGAAATCCGCTCAAATTAAAAGGCTTGGTTCTTGATTTAAGCAAAAATCTGATTGAATCAAGAGTCCTTTTTCTTGTCAATGTTTTCAAGAGTCTGGACTCTAGATCCAATGTGGTTTTTTTTTCCAGTGCGTGTTCTGTGCTACCGTGTTAAGGAAGAACGCCGTATGAACATTCAAGAGTTGCCAAATTTTCTTCGATAAAATGTCCATTTTTGAGAAAAGTTATGAATATTTTTCCTTGTTATTTTCATGAGAAATTCAGTTGAGACTGCGAACACAATTATCTAAAAAAAATTGGAAGGAAACAATTCATAAGGTCACCAGGAAATTCGTGTTTTATCCAAGGAAATTTGGCAACGCTTGAAGGCTCATACGGCGTTTTTCCTCCGACACAGAGCGGAGCGGCCAGCGTGCTTCCAGCGCAGCATGCGCACTAGCGCCTACAAACCTAACAGGGATACTTCACGCACTGCGCAATGCGTGAAGTATCCCTGTTAAGTTTGTAGGCGCCAATGCGCGTGTGACGCTGGTCGCCCTCGCCCGCCGCGGCGCTTCAAGCAACTATTTTGCCACAGAGGTGTTGCACAATATCATACGAAATTGAAAGCTCTCCAACTTATTATGAATGTTAGGCACCATCTAAGAGTACGGAGCTTTCCTCGCAAAATAAATCAAGATACTACGGCACAAAAGAGAGCGGTAGTCCAAAAGTCTAGATCATCATGTATACATGGTAATCTAAAAGTCTCGCACTCTATACAGTTAAAAGTTTTCCGTGTATTTAATGATTTACGTTCCGTCCGTTCAGTAAACCTGAACCTGATGTCAACGGAAAAATTTCTCCGGACCATGAGTAAACTCCTCAAAGTTTATACAGTGAAAGCTTTTCATTCCTACCCTTTTTAGGGAAGTCATCCTAAAATTTATTAGGGGCCTCAAAGTTCGTTATCTTTGACCTGGGAGCATTCACAAAATGTGAAGTCTATCTCAATTTTTTCCAAAGTTACACAGTCTGGTGCTAGAGGTGCGGGACTCTTGAATCACCCTGTGCACTAATTCTTTTCGCGGAAGTTAGGCAAATTCCTATTTTCCTCTATTGAGAATTCTCTTGACGCACTTGTTACATATGTTAAGTATGTTCGATGGACGTAATAAAACACACTTATCAAATACGGAGTTGATCGTGAAAAACACCTTCAAGTGCTGTGAGTCACTATCATTGAATGTACATAGAGGTAATGTAAGAAAATGCGGTAGGAGTTAGTTTACTAGTTCAGCACTGTGGGACTACCATGTGAGTAGGAATTTTGTTCGATAGCATACTGGTTTATTATTTTTTTTCAATAATTCGTTTTATCGTGAGATCACATCATCCTTCATCAAGGAAATGATTTACAGTCATGATTTTTTAAAGGTTTAAAAACTGCAGAGAATCTGTGCGGACTTATATTTAAAAGTTTTCCGTGAGGTTTAAATGTTTAACTAAAAGGTTTTTTGTGAGTCTAGATCTGTCTCGGCCGGGAAGAATGAGTGTTTAACAAATAATACTTTGAAAGCAGTTGTCAAAATCCCTGTTTATGTGCGCACATCTCCCCCATAAGGCGGGATCTTTATACATTCTCCGGAGTGTCTGCGTAAATTATCATTATATTTTTTGGTCCACAAGGCATGAACATATTATCTAATTATAATATTCTCGTCTCGCACATACTTGAATTTCCTTATGCAGAAACACATAAAGTCCAGAAAAAGGTTTCAGAATTTTCGAGGGGTGATTTTATTATTGTACAAAATGAAGTTGTTCCACAACATGAAGAATGTTGAAAAATTTTCTTTTATTTAAAGTCCCGTAGATGAAATTGAAAGTTTACCACGGACATCGATTTAGACTGCATTTTTCAATTTGAAACTATAAATTCTGGCTCATCTGAAAAAAAACTTATGTGCACAGGGAAACTAATGACGCATATGTTGTTTTTAAACCGGACCAGAATTGGACGTATTTCTACCAAACAGGCCTATGTGCAAGTGAGAAATATGGGGTGTGCTCGTTAGTTCTCTTCGCGTAAGAGTAAATGGGAATAATAAAGCGCCAGTGACGTTATCGGCAATGAACGAGAGCGAGCGCGAGGGGGAGAACGTCGTCGGGGCGCTGTAACTCATGAGCCCTGTCCACAACGCTCTCTTGCCATGCCCGCGGCTCATGAGTTCCGCATTCAGTTGGCACATAGGTCTGTTTGATAGAATGTAATATCCCGCTTTTCCAATTCTTCAAAAGGAATCACGCCCACTTTTACATTGCTTCTTATGCAGCTTCGACGAGCACACCCCATATTTCTCACCTCCACATAGGTCTGTTTCGTAGAAATACATCCAATTCATAGTTTCTAATTGCAAAATGTAGTCCATTTATAGTTACATATCATTACAGCGCAAAATAAGGTACTGCATTTCTTTGAGAAAAAATGTAATAAACATAGAAAGTTTCCGAACGGCCATTTTCAATTATTTACTTATTTTGTTTTGGAATGCTAACTTTTTGTTTTGCAAATATCTATACTGGGGTTTTTTCTTCAATGAGGGTTTTAGTTTTCAAAAACCTCGCCGCACTCCTATCATAAGGACGTAACTACATTGTGCGATGAACCTTATTTTCCATCTAATTCAATGCTTTCCTGGACTCATTCTTAAGTGTAGTTACGCCCTTTTGTTAGCTAGACGACGAGCTATACATCTACAATAATTTTTACTTTTAAAATTATTATACTATTTCGGTGTGAATGTTCTTGAATTGAGTTACATTTTTTGTAAATTTATTACTCAGAATGGACCACTAGACAAGGTACGAATTTCAGCATTCTGATACATGTTTCTCAACCAAAATTTCACGTAGAACACGATACGCACAACGAAAATTACCAAAATCAACTCCTGACGAAGATATTTGATGATTCTTGATGCGTGAATTCAAACCACCCGCTCATGAAAACTCAATGCTCTACGTGATTCACATCGCGCGCTAAATGTTTATCATGACAGTCTCTGCGATGTAAAAATCTTCAACTTCAATCTTGACACTTTGGCTCAGCTATAGCAAATTACCAATAGTTTGAACAACACATGGTGGAAAATGAACATTGCTCGATTGAGAAGCTTGCTGAAACCGTTGTAGTGCGCGATTTGACTCACGTAGAGCTTTGAGTTTCTTGTGAGCGGGCAGTTCAAATTCCTCGTGATCAGTGCGAAATAAAAACGTTGATATCTTCGTTAGAAGTTGATTTCGGTAATTTTCGTAGTGTGAATCGTGTTCTACGTGAAATTCTGGTTAAGAAACATGTATCAGAATCCTTTAATTCGTACCTTGTCTAGTGGTCCATTCTGCATTGTTTGATGAGGAGGTACGTTTGAGTAGTTCGCTCAGTTTGCTGTGAAAAATATTTATAAACAACGATTTATAGCAGATGTTATAAATACTGAATGCCACAAAATTAACTAATTTTATTATTTTTCTTCTGAAATGATTCCATAGTGAAGATCTCCAGGCTAGCTAGGCTGCGATCATTTACTGCAAACGAGAATGACCGTCATTCCTAGGCTGACCCTCGGTTTAATTTTATCATGCTTTCTCCAGCAGGTAGGTTGAATAGTGTTCTTTTGCACCACGAAAAAAGGATTCAAAACTAAAAATAACTTGACGAGAATTATTTACAGTCTGTTAATTATGATACCAGAAGATGGGCCTGGCAAGACTCTCTCTAAACAAGGTACAAATGGAAAGGTGTCATTAGTTTTTTTCGGGGGGAGGGTAATAATTATCACGATGCATTCTGTGTTATATGCACATTTATAGAGGCAGGTTTAAAACCTCAATACCAAATGTGTATGCTCAAAAGCACTGCGCAGGTATCCTAAGAAACAATACAAGATTAGGAGAAAAAATTTAGCTGAGTTCTCAGATTGACTAGCAGTTACATAAAAAATTCGTCAATCAGCACTCTTTTGCCTTCTTACTTCTAATAACTTGAACTTTAAAAAAAAAATTTAACAAAATTATTAAAAAGTCATGTGATTGCAATCAATATACCGAAAAACAATATGATTGGACTAAAGCATCCTAGATGTCAAAAATGTTTCTTGCGATCTTAGATGCTGGCCAGGCTACCCTGGAGTTGATTTAACATCCTGGAACAACAGACTTGTCAACTAGGGTATCTAAGTCAACTTATAGGGATGATTTAGATATTTTTAACACCCTTGATGGTAAAAGAGCATGTCGACGGTGATACTACCAGACCACGTACCTCGGTTTGCGACGTTGTAGACTTCCTGTCATACTTTATTTTTTTAAATGGAAAACTAATCAACATCAATTCTTGAAAACTTCGGTGTATTTGATTCGATATCCAAGGAAAACTCGGTGAAAATTTCAAGGAAAGATGATGATTTGTTCTTCTCCATCAGAAAAATAAAATGGGAGCGGAGGTTTGTAAACACCGCAAACGAGATACGTGGTCTGGTAGTTTCACCATCGATATACTTTTTTTCCTATGTATGGATTAGTTTTCCAATGCATTCACGTCTTCCTCATTCGAGTTGAATTGTAATATTATTTCCCGCTTCGTTGTTCCGGAGAAGAAAGAACGTAACTAACGCAGCAAAATTTCCACTTCCATGAATTGAATTTTTACTGGAAACTGCTGAGGAATTCTGACTGTTGACTGCACGGAAAAAAGTGTGAGGGGTTATCCCCTAAAATTATGATACTACCCCAATTTGTTGGTGGATATGGACATTTCTATTAAATTTTGGTAGTATCGCAACTCAAATTGGGGTAGTACCGCAACATTTGGGTTAGTAACATAATTTATCGGGATACCACCACAATTAATCGGGGTATCGCCATAATTAATTGGGGTATTGGTATTACCACAATTAATTGGAAATGTCAATTTCATCCAACATTTAAGACTTAACCCCTACCTCTTGTGCACTCCTCTCGTGTGCACTATTTTTTTCTGCTAACATGCAAAAATCAACACAATTTTGGACGGAAATTTCAGGGTTGTATTCTTGTAAAAAATAAAAGTGTTTCAGCCGAATCGTCGCAACTTTAACGTAAGGGTGTACCTCTATTTCTACATGAGCCCCGGAAGAAATACAGTTATAAGGAGATGGGGGCTCAAGCAGAAATTTAGATACGCACTCACGTCAGAGGAGCGACGTTTGCTCTCTTGGAGTGAAATTGCATTTCATCCTCTGGGAAATTATTATCGATTATATTATGGGGGATTTTTGGTTGGGTAAGCTGTATAATTATGTGATTAAATTTTTGCAGTCTATATTTTGTGGAGTCGTACACAAGGAGAAGACCGGGTTTGTTGAAGAGCACGATGTTAAGAAAATCGAGAGCGTATCCCAGCTTGAATTACAAGGTATCGAGCATGGGAAATTTTATTCCCTCACCGATGAAGAAAAAATTCCAGAGCAATTCGAAATTCCTGCTGAGGAATCGCAAAATCTACAACAGGAAACAGCAAAAATCGGAAAAACTCGCAAATGCTTCAACTGTCTTCAGGACGCACGAGCATCCATGATTTCCTCGCAGTCTGATTTCCGCCTTCCAGCGCAACCTAATATTCCTGCATGGGCATTCCCTACTTCCCCTTCATTCCCTACTTTCCCCACATTCCCTACGTTTACAGTCCCCACATTCCCTACGTTTACTTACCCCACATTCCCTACGTTTACAATCCCCACATTCCCTACGTTTACTTACCCCACTTTCCCTACGTTTACTTTCCCCACAATCCCTACATTTACACTGCCAACGATAACATTGCCTACGTTGCCTACATTGCCTACGTTGCCTACGTTGCCTACATTGCCTACGTTGCCTACGTTACCTACATTACCAACAATTCCGACAGCTCCAACAACCTCCGAAACTTCTGCAACTTCGGAAACATCGTCTGAAACATCCGAAACTTTGGAGCCATCCCCCGCAACCACTGAACCAGCCACTGAAGCCTCGGACTCAGCCACCGAAACCCCTGAACCATCCGCTGAAACCCCAGAGTCACCCACCGAAAATTCCGCCGACCCTACAGAATCCTGAGATGGTCTCAAGAATGATTTCTTAAATTAAAAGAGTTGAATCAACGGACCCCAGGACAGTGTATGAAATCGTCGCCTCCTGATATTGCACGATGAACCTTGTCGTCCACCACCGACGTGGCGTGCTTTGCGATATATCGATTGTTATGCCATTTAAACCTATGGGAGAGGATCGATAGACAGGGTATTCGCAGAGAACACCTTAATAATCGATTCTTTACCAGGTCTAAAGGGCAGAACAATCGATACATCGCAATTCACGCCACCCCGCCCGGCAAGTGGTTGCCTGAAGTAGATGCGGAAATGTTGTCACAATGTAACTGCCAAAAATAATGTTGCGGCAACGCTGCAGCAACGTTGTGGCAATGTTATTTTTGGCCGTTGCCGGACGGGACGACACTACCCGGGCTCATCTCTAAGTCGACGGTGAAACTGCCAAGAGGCGTATCTCGGTAGCGGTGTTTCGAAATCTTCGCTATTATTTTATTTTTTTAAAGGAGACAGGACCTACATTAGGCTTGAGGTTTTTACAAAATATTCTTTAGAAACAGAAGAAAAATCGCTGGAATTTTAAAAAACAAATGGCGTTCAGTAGTTTCCCGTGTAGAAAATAGAGTATGACAGGAAGTCTGCAACGCCGCAAACCGAGATAAGCATTTCTGCAGTTTCACTCTCGAGGTGTAGTTAGGTCCTTTGTCAGCCAAGCGAAGAATTGAGGTGTCATGATACGTATCGACTCGCAGGTCGTAAGTAGAGTAAACACTGAACACGTGTTTTTTTTTTTTTTTTTAAATTTATTTGGAATCCGGTATTAAAAGAAGGCCGATCGAGCAGGTATTTATAAAATTCACCTACTTAGAATTTTGTGAGAGAAAGTAACGAATATTCTCACAGCGGGGGTGCAAGTAAAAAGACCAATTAATGATGGCTTTCAGGATGTTTTGAATCTCTAATCTTCGATTTTGTAATCGAATGGTCGAAATCTTCGATTTTAAAAATGTTTTGTCAGGTTCTCTTCCGAGCCTTGCCTCCGGCGCTATGATTTGTTACTTTTCCAGATTTTGAAAGTCACCGTTACTTACGGTAAATTTTTTGGTGCTATTTATTATAACTTTTGGAGGGCAATTTTTGTTACTTATTAAAAGATAAAAAAGACTGGAAGTAAACTTTTGTTTTTGTATCCTATTTTCTCATCTCCATCCTGAGTGACTTTTAAAATAGTCGGTTTTTAGAACACTGTCGCACGCTATGCTGGTGGTATGTCACAGGTTCAAGAGTGTAACACTGGAGGCTTAGCATTCGAAATGGCAATAATTCTTACAGAGTCCTGGGAGAGCAAAAAGTTATTCTTAATTTTGGGAAGAGCGGATTTCGGAGAACGACACTGGAAATCTGTTGAGAGAATACGGCGCACTTTACTCACAATACCGGACTACAGAAAGATGGCAATATTACACTTCGTAAAATTTGACTTACGAGAGCTTGAGGAAGGACGTGTACACAGAAAATAAACTCCGGCCGTGGAAGCCGTACTTACGGGTTATATATAAATACCGTCCAAGTTCCGAGCTCAAAGCCCAGAAATTCCGGGCGTCGCAGCAATCGAAGCTGCGGCTCCAACACCCGGCCTCTAAGCCCGGAACGGACGGTATGTCTGTATAGCCCGAAACTTTTTTCCAGTGTGGTCACACTTGAAGAAAAACACATTGGATCTAGAGTCCAGACTCTTAAAAACATCGACAAGAAAAAATACTCTCGATTCAATCAGATTTAAGCTTAAATCAAGAACCAAGCCTCTCAATTTGAGCGGATTTCCTTTTGATTTAAGCTTGAATCTGCTTGGAATAAGAGCCCTTTTTCTTGGCAATGTTTTCAAGAGTCTGGACTCTACATCCAATGTGTTTTTCTAGTAGTAGGTGGTAAACGCGAAGTCCTGTTCATGGCGAACAGCGCAAGGCACGTAGGCCCAGAAAAGCAACTCTTAGTCAGTTTTGCATCAGTCATCCGGTGCACATATAAAAAAGATATTAAATAAATGAAGTGGTGCGTCTGATTGTGCACAAGCATCGGTTTCAGGCCTACAATGCTTCACAATTTTGAAACTTGGAATGAGACAGAAAAATGAGGAAGAAAAGGATGAACGAAAAACTGTCACAGGGCTTTAGAAGAAAACGTTGTGTAACACGTGACAAACACATTAGACCTTCCCTTCTATGATGAATTTTTGCCGCAATTCAATGAGGTGGACTGGATTTGGTGCACCGCACATTACCAGGGCGGCAGCAGGAGAAGAAACAAAATTTGATTAAAAAATAAGAGCTATAAATGTAAACACTGAAAGCTAATAAAATAAGCTCCAACTGTATCCACTCTGGACGAAAAGAATAATTCCGCTAAAGATATAAATCAGGATGAAATTGTCACCTTGTATCACCAAGCAAACAATAAGAACACGTTGGTAGGTTTTACAATCCAATTTGTAGTCAAAATGCCAATCGCTTACCTGAAACAAAACAAGAAAAAATATGGTTAGCGAGGAATGATTTGTGCACGGGAAAGATAATTAGAAAATATAAACTCATGCATTAGATTTAATCACAATGTAACGTAAATGCAGGGTTTTCCTGAGGAAAGACGCTTCTTAAGGGACGGCTGTCACCTAATACTCTTTATAAAGAGTTCAGTAAGAACGGACATCGAAATCTAGTTGTGCAATTTGGTTGTTTCGCCATCCATCCATTTTGATTCTAGAGGGCATGGGAGGACCCGAAACACAAACGATAATAGTAAAAAAAAAGTTATAGCCCCCAATGTTTAGCATAATCAAACTTACACGGAAAAAACAAGACTAGTGTTGAGCACTACTGGCCGTTTAGTGGGGAATAGTTGAGGGCTCGCGTCTAAGCGCTGTACAGCTCAACACCGGAAGGCAGTGCAGGTGGGCGCTGAACATGAGTAGTGCTAATCAGATGCCGCGAGACGTAGTTGCGCTTAACATGTGTAAATTCACCCGTGAGACGTCAGAGTCACGATAGCCTGGTGGTAACGCGCTGGTCTTCCACCGGCGCAACCCGGGATCGATCCCAGGCGGAGGCGTTTCATATTTTACGCTCGCTCCAAAGTCACTTTAGGGCTTGACACTACTTCTTCCTTAGTGACCCAGCCTCGAGCTGTTTAGTGCCCAGCACTCCTCTGACTTGCTGGCTCCATTTGATCTAACCCTCGTTAGTGCCCAGCACTAACATGTAGGTCCCAACCCTAAGCTCGTTTTTTCCGTGTACCTCCGTCTTAGGCGGATTATTGTACATGTTTCAATTAGTCATGTCTGAAAAAATATTTTTAATTCCAAAATTTAAGGTAGGACCGTATCTACCTGAAAGTCCAAAAAATCCCTGCTAAAAATGGTGAGAACAAATGAGTAGAAAATCAAAGTCACATGAATAGAATTTCAACTCATATAAATAGAATTTCAATTTAAATGAATAGAATTTACTCAATGAGCAGAGTTTTTCTATCCAGTTTTCGCCAACTCATATGACTACAGCGAACTCATATGAGTTCAGCGTTGAATCTACCGTGTCCGATATCTCAGAAATTAGTCACCGCATCAAAAATATCATGAGAAAAAAATGTTTTTACTTTTCAAATTTACATACTCTGTCGGTGTCTCCTGGTCAGAGACAGCACTTCTGAAAAATGAAAAAAAATGAATTCATATGAGTTGAACTCCTCTACTCTTATGAGTAGAATATTCTAGTGATATGAGTAGAATTTCTTCTCATATGAGTAGGATTGCTACTCACATAAGTAGGAGGTTCTACTCATGTGAGTTGGGGAATTCTGAAGAGCCTACTCGTCATTTTTAGCAGGGATATTGTCTAAACGGTATAGATCTCCTACATTTAATTTTTAGTTTTGGGATAAGACCAGGCCTTTAAGAGAGTGTAAGGAGGCCTTCAAAGTAGCAACATAAAACGTTCAATTAAATTCAATAATTTGACTTCGAATATAAATCCTTGCGAGAGATTACGATGATTTGGACGTATTCATGCCAAGAGGAACTATGCGCATTGGGTTTGCTTGCAACATATGTCCATTTGTCACTAAAAAAAATATTAAAAGTACAAGATGATAAATTGCAGATTTTGAAACATTTAAGGTAGGTCCCTACCAACCTTATACTCGTACATTCTATTTTATTCTAATTTTCATATTTGCAATGGCAAATCGTGGTAATCCCTAGTGAGGATATTATCCGAAGTCATACCGATGAATTTTCGCGTTCTGTAAACCTTGTCATTTCCATGATGCTACGTTAAAAGCCTCCTTATATCTTCCTGAATATCAATGTAACCTATGCCGGCGCACAGTGGATCGAGTCAATTAGAGAGGTCGGACATAAACTTTTTGACTAAAACTGCAAATGTTGATGTTTACTTTGTCACATTTTGAATTTTTAGGGTGCTTGTAGAAGAAAATTTTACAAGGAAACCAATGAAACTACTTTTAAAATCTCAAATTTTTGTATAAACGGAGTTATAAGCGTTTAAAGTTTCCAAATTTTGTCCGACCTCTCCTATTGACTCGATCCAATGTGCAACTCCCAAACCATGTATCTCGTTTGCAGCGTTTAAAAATCTCCGCACCCGGTTTATTTTTTTATAGGAGAGCAAAACAACATTGCTCCTTGAGGTTTTTTCAGAATATTCTTTGCGCAGAGAAGAAAAATCACGGAGGCTTTTCAAAATTGACGTTAAATCGTCCTCCATTCAAAAAATGAGGTATAACAGAAAGTCTGCAACGTCACAAACCAAGATACGTCGTTCGGAAATTTCACTGTCGATATGTAGCTGTAGCCTCCGTAGGGAAAAGAGCTGTTTCAGGAGCGACTAAATGTATGATCGCCACCAAACTTCTCGCTCGGAATAGGTCAGTTGCGCTGATCTCAAAATCGTGTTTTGGTGTTAGATTTTTGTATATTAGAAAAACTTCACGGTATGTGTATTACACACTTGTATATTAGGGGGCAGTCTAGTCCCGTGGCAACACCCTAGTAAAAGTGAGTTAGCCTGACGTCCGGCTATGTTTCATAAACTACATTGAATCTGACTGATTGAGGCTGACATCAGTCTAACATCAGCCAGAATCAGTCTGACTCAGGGTAGTTTATGAAACATAGCCGGACGTCAGGCTGATTCACTTTTACTAGGGCAGGGGGTTTTAAATTAGATGAGAAAGTGCCAACTCCCCTGTGCCTGAAAGTGCCTGAGTGGGGTGTTCGAGGACCAAATTTTGTGGCGATTAGGCGTCGCAGAGCGCCAGGGAGCGTTGTGATAGCGACTTATATGTATGTGGGTAAACTTCACAAGATCTGTCCGAACAGCAATATTTTACGTTCAATATTAACCGAGATATCGCGCTATGAAAAATTCGGTTCATGATGTCATCCACCGTGGTAATGACACCCTTGATTTCTTCCACCTTGCTCTCATCCGAGTTTCACGTTCAGTAACCACTGAAAATGTGTGTCTCACTGATTGATGAAAGCAAGGTGGAAGAAGCCAAGAGTGTAATTATCTCGGCGGATGACGTCACAAACCAAATTTTTCAAAGCGCAATATCTCGGTTAATGTTGAAAGTAGAGAGTTGCTGTTTGTGCGGGTCTTATTATTTTTAGCTGATCGTAATTTAGCATCAAAACTCGATTTTGAGATCAGTAGAAGAATATAGTCCTGAAAGAACTATGAATATCACATGCAATTCCTTGTTATACATTTGCCAAGAAATTTGTGATGACAAAAATCAAGGTATGAGATTACACGCAATGCCACTATGAACGTATCATTTTGACCTCAGTAAAGGTTCAGTTACACGATCAAATTGAGCCATCAAACTGAAGCTCTGATTGGTGGAAAAAGACCTGTGGTGAGGTTGCGACCAATGAGAAGCCCAATTTGATGGCTTAATTTGATCGTGTAACTGGACCTTAAGGAGTTTTCTCTGAAACGACTTTAACTTAACTTAGATTTGGCTCTGACTGCGAACCCGAATTCTCCTTAATTTTCCTCCGGAATGAAAGTGCTAAAGCTCCTAGGGCATTAAGCAAGGGAATACTTTGTCAGTAGGCCTACCCGTCTCGGCTGGAAGAAATCTCGAAGAATTTGTC